AAAGTGGTGCCGCCACAGACGAAAGTGGAGGCTCTCCACGAGTTTACATCGTTTATTTACGTGTACACGGTAAGCGAAAGCTCGCGATTATCATATTACGCGCTTCTCTGATGATTCTCTGATATTCTCGTTCTCGCGAACTGTAAAATTATATCTTCGCCGCGATTAAAGATGATTTTTTTTTTTTCCCTCCTCTTTGCAGCCAAACGTAGACATTTTAATGATATATTTCGCACGTGGAAGAGAAAGAATCCGTAAGAATCCGTTCGAGGCACTTTTTGCTATTTTTACTTTTAGCGTTCACTATTTTAAATCGGAACATCGTCGGAACTCGTGGATCCCCTCTTTATGGATAATATATAGATCGACTTACCAATCCCGCGTTGCTTTCGCGACGAACTGCTTCTGATTCTCCTTATCGATCGGCATGGAATGGTGATAGCGATGCTCATCAATGGAAACAACTGAATGGCAAACAAGGCGGGTTTCGTTTCGGTCGAGGATTGTGAGATTGTAAGGCGACGCCAGGAGTCGGGAAGCCATTCGATCCAAAGCCACCCACGATTTACCGGCCACCACCCAGGACGGATACGTGCAATGCTCCGGTGGCTTTTCTGTAACATAAAAAGATGGCTGTGGAAAGAAGATTCCTCGTTTCGTCGCCGAGGTTTCCCTCCGCAACGCAAATTTTGCACATGTGCATGATATTTTTCTCCGTTAAAGGACTGAATCAAAATTACTCGCGTGTTTTAAATAGTTGGCGTTTCCTTCTCACGAACATGCTTCTTCGCACATTTATCGTCGTCGTCTCGACTACGTAGATTATAATTTAAGCGGAAGGAGAAGTAGAAACAATTATGACTTAATAGCGAGAAAAATTATTACACGGTTGGATGTAATTTAATGGAATCCATGGATTCCATCAAATTTCGTCTCATTGGTATTCGTAATTATCGAAAATATTTTGCTGTTCTCACACAGAAACGCCGAAACGCGAGATTGCGAAGTTGATTATCGCTGTAGCGTCAACAGTTTAATTTCTGTAATTTTCACCTCCACACTACAAATTCGGACGACTGTTAAATTTAAATGTAATTACGTGTCAAGAAATAGCTGCGGCTTTATTCTTAGAGAGCGCTGTAACTTCGCTCCTAACGCAGTTATTTCAAACTCGAAATGCATAATATAACTGTAAGCTCGTTCCCAACTCTTTAAGTTCACGGGGTCCTCGAGCAGATAATCCAGCATAAGTAAACTTTGACCTCTCTTCTTCCTACGCTGTAAACTTCGTTTCCAACCGGCATGCCAGCTGTTTCCTGCGCATTATCAGACTCTCGCACGCTCCGTCAAAGAATGCTGTCGAAGGAAGGAGAGAAAATAGAGAAAAAAAGAATCGATATCCGACATATTCGACAATCTTCATCCCGAATAATTCCGCGCTAATTACAATACGCTTTTAATACGGCGTTACACTCGTAACTAGCGTAATTACACGCGAGCGACATACGTCATACGTGAACGTGATGTATATTAATCAACTCATTAGCTTCATTAACACACACGCGCGCGCGCGCGCGCGCGCACACGCACACGCACACGCAAACGTGCGCGCGCTTTGCATTATAACGCGTAATTCACGTATGCATTGCATTGTTGCGATAATGATTCGGAATTGTTCTCGCCATTACTGATGAAAATATCGAATTTCATATCATCGCTCATGAAGATATTAAAAAGTCAATAAAAAAAAAAAATTATATCAGCTCAGGCTGAGTATAATAACATACGGTCAGTTTCGAGAATACTGCAAACTATTAAAAATAAAAAAAAAGAAAAAAAACGACGTAAGATATGTTGAAGTTGTACTATGACCGGCAACAGCCGGTTACGTTGATGCAAATAATAATTTGCTATAAACGCGCGACAGCTCTGTCGCCAGCGAACAGTTATCCTGTCAATGGTCGGTTGCTCATAGCCATCAATCACCGTGCACACGTGAATTAATGGACCGTTAAAAATGCACGAGCAGCGACAAAGTATGCCGCGTGCATGCTGCATACGCGACCGACCGCTCGGGCTGCGTGCAACTAAAAGCTAATCGATAATTCAATCGGGCGTATGCGTGTATCGCAGTGTAACGCTATATAGCCGAAAATTGCGCTGCTTATCGCATGCGTACGCGTTCGCCGCGAATGATAAGGGAGAGGCGTAACCGATGGCGATAAAGAAAACGACGCGCGGGGCTTCGCGCGTAATTGTTTCATTATGCGATCTACGTTCCCGCGATATAATTATTTTCTTATGCGTATATTCCATTTTCCCGCGCGATACGTGGAAAGAATCGCGCGCCAGTTTGTCCATCCAATTAAAATTCCTCTCCCGACGGAGAAATTTTCAAATTTTTCGTCGGCGTTTCCGTGCACGTATTATTATCCCGCCATTGACGGCGGAATAATTTTAAATTAATCAATGAGTATCAAATTTTTTTATTCCGCGCAAAATTTACTTTCGCGTAAAGCAAAATGGGCCGTTAAAGATGCACGAGCGAGGTACACCAGGTGTGTGAGAGAGAGAGAGAGAGACGGAAAATAAAATCGGTTTAATGCGCTCGAGCTTTTTATGTCGCGAGCTCTTTCGATAAAATGTTTGACAGAGACGAATTATCGCAAGTATGTCAATAGCTTGACATTGTTAAATTTAAATACGAAAAAGGGATTGCAAATCTTTCCTGTTTCGCCGCGGTCTCGCAAGAGTAAGAGGACGTTGTGTATAACAAAATGCATATTAAAATGAGTCACGCCCGCGGCAAAATGGAAGAAGAAACGTATGCTTTGTTTAAAGTAAATTACGCCCATCCTCTTATCTTCCTTTGCAGTCAGACCGCATGTAATGCCATTGCATTACCTCGAAAAGATTGCAATTTCAGTGCAGCGGCGACGGTGGTTATTCGAAAACGGTAATCTAAAATGAAAATAGTATCTACGGAAAATGTTGCAGAGGTCCTCCCAGCGTCGGTATATTAAATATGATTGTTCATACCATAAAGCTAATCTTTTTAATCGTCTCGTTATACAAAGAAACTAGCTTCTGAGACGCGAAATATAAAGATAGGAGTTTCTTAAAGGGACGACATTGCCTCAAAACTTGTTCGAGGAGAAAGAAAACGACACGGGACTTAATAGTACGAATGTGCAATAGTACGAGTGCACACACAGGGGAATGCGAAAATGTTTCTAGTATCTATTTTACAATTCACAATTATTCCGATATTTCACAGATATGTATATGCATTTCTACTGCGCGATGATATTCTACGTTTTTCGCGTAACCGTATTTCTCCCGTTGCTATGCATGTTTGTTCTAGTTTTCTGTTCTTGCGGCTCTAATCACAATATTTCCCGACAAGATCGCGAATTTTTAAAACAACATAAACCGAGGTACAAAACTAACTTTTTTCAATCTTTTATTAGTGAAAACGGATCAAGTCTCGACGAATCGTCCCCTCGAATAAAATGTTGTTCGAAGTTGTACGAGTGTCATCGTACAATTCTCGCAAACTGACTGTAAACATGTACGAGAAACGTGTGCGAGAAAGAACAAGAACAAGATAAGAATTTACATATCGGCCAGATAGAATTTATTGCGCGTTGGCGAATAACGTTCCTCTCTTCATCCACGGGCGGGCACTTCGGAACGGGAAACCCGGAAGCTCGAGATCCCGAGGCTAATCTGCCTCCTGGAAAGTTTAAATGGAAACGCGGTACTCGAGTAGGGGGTTAACGAAACATCCGCGACGTCGTGGTAAGGGCGCCGCTGAAAAATTTTTAAGCTGCTTAACGCTCAAGTTGAATTTCCTCTAACGGCGCGGTTGCGATTTCGAAATATTAAGCGGCAGCTTTGTCATTCCTCGATAACATGTCCGTCGATATGACACACACACACACACACACACATGCACACACACACACGCGCGCGCGCGTATACACACGAATATCAATGTAACATCAATATAACAAGATAATAACAATAAAGTAACACTCGAGATTCATTAAATTTGAATTGCGACGTGCGAAGTGAAAATCAAACGTGGATAAACTGGGAACGCACACAACGAGCATTTCCTCGTGAAGATCCTTCTTCACAATGGATGCTCGGCCATACCGATCGTCCCGACATACATAGCGCCGTACGACGATCAAACCGGAGCGCCCGTTCGCCGCCCTCAATATGGTTAACCGTGAATCCTGTGACAAGAGCGTCCCAAACCGGCAAGGCTACGTGTAGCTATGCGATACCGTGGAATACCCGAAGTACCTGGCGTTGACCATCGGACGGAGCCACGCCAGTATGCCGGACAAGAATCCGATCTGGTGTCCGCAGGCACTCTCATAGTTTACGTGCTCTCGTTCTCGGTGTTCCGGATCTCCGCACGTATCAGGCCGGGGTATATACGCGCCAATCCGCCACCGTTCGCCTCTCGTCGATTAACAACCCCTCGCGGAATTTCGATCGTTAATTCGATCTTAAATGTCGCGGCCGGCTCGTGAACCATCGCCGAGAGATCGCGATCCAGGCGCGATCCAGGCGCTTCCGGGAAAAAGAATCAAAAAATCCTTTTCTATTCTCTTTTTTTTTTTTCTATAAAATTATTAAAATGTGAATAAGAGAAATATATATTACAGTCATATATTATATTCGTATGCGCGCGTGTGTGTGTGTGTGTGTGTGTGTGTAGTAAGTAAAAATAAG